GGATCCTTTTTATTTCAGTTGGGTCTGTTGTAATGTCCCCCATTTCATTTCTTATTTGGGTTATTTGCATCCTCTCCTGTTTTTGTTTTGTCTGTTTGGCCAGTGGTTTGTTGATTTTGTTGATCTGTTCAAAGAGCTAACTTTTGGTTTTGTTGATTCTTTCTGTTGTTTTTGTATTCTCTATTTTATTTAGTTCTACTCCGATCTTTATTATTTTCTTTCTTCTAGTGGCTGTGAGCTTTTTTTTGCTGTTCTATTTGTTCAAGCTATGTAGTTAATGTTTTGATTTTGTCCCTTTCTTCTTGTTTGATGTGTGCATCTGTTGCTATAAATTGTCCTCTGAGGACTGCCTTTGCTGTGTCCCAGGGGTTTTGGTATGATGTGTTTTCATTCTCATTTGATTCTAGGAATTTTTTGATTCCATCTTTGATTTCTTCTATTACCCAATGGTTTGTAAGCAGGGTGTTATTCAGTTTCCATGTAACTGATTTTTTTTCCTTGTTCTTCCTGTTGTTAATTTCTACTTTGATGACATTATGATCAGAGAAGATACTTTGTATTATCTCAACATTTTGGATTTTGTTGAGGTTTGCTTGTGGCCTAAGATGTGGTCTATTCTGGATATTCCATGTGCTTTGGAAAAGAATGTGTACTTTGTAGCTGTTGGGTAGAGTGTTTTATATATGTCTATGAGTGCAAGTTGTCTGATTGTGGCCTTTAGATCTTCTGTATCTTGGTTGAATACCTTTCCAGATGTTCTGTCATTTATTGAGAGTGTTGTGTTGAAATCTCCAACTATTACAGTGGAACGGTTAATTTCTCTTTTCAGTGCTATTCAAATTTGTTTTATGTATTTTGGAGCCCTGTCATTGGGTGTGTAGATATTTATTATGGTTATGTCCTCATGACAGGTCATCCCTTTAATCATGATTTAGTGCCCTTCTTTGTCTTTTGTGGTAGATTTTGTTTTAAAGTCTATTTTATCTGAGATTAGTATTGCCACTCCTGCTCTTTTTAGTGGCTCTTTGCTTGGTATATTTTTTTCTGTCCTTTAGTTTTTAATAAATTTATGTTTTTGTTTCTAAGGTGTGTCTCTTGTGGACAGCATATTGATGCATCCTGTTTTTTTAATTCATCTGTCACTCTCTGTCTCTTTATGCATGCATTTAGGCCATTTACATTCAGTGTCATTATTGATAGGTGTGAGTTTATTGCAGTCATTTTGTAGTGCTTTTTTTTTGTAGTGCTGATGATTTCTTTGTTCCTCTTACTCTCCTGTGCTGAATTCCTTTTGTTTGTGGATTCCTTTTGAGGTCATCCAGGAAGCCTCAGATCGGCCAGCTGGGAAGTGGTGAAGGCCGAGGAGAGAGGAGAGGAAGGCAGGGTTGGGGGTTGGAAAGCGTGTCTTGCTGGTTATCTGGTGCTCTGTCTCCTGCTGGGAGCTCTGTGAATCTGCTTTCCCATATTCCCTGTCCACCTATCTCCAAGAGGAGTCCAAGATGGTGGATCTGTGCTGCATTAGCTGAGAAGGGACCTCGGCTCGTAACTCTCCACACTCTCTGTTTTCTGTCAGTTTCTTGTTCAATTCAGTGCTTTGTTGAGTTTTTTTCTCTCTTCATTTGAAGCTTAGGGTTCCAGGGTCGATGTTTGTTTCTTTTGTACTTAGTTTTTTTCTGGTCTTTGCTGTGGAGGGAGGGCGTGTTGCTTCTGTCTATAGCGCCATGTTGGCTCCACCTCCTAGCAGCCGTAACTTTTAACTACTATGTCACCAGGGCTCCTTATAAGCCCATATTTACTGTTAAAGGGCCACATATTGGGACTAATACTTGCATGTAAGATAATGTTGCATTGTGGAAAGGGTAAAGGCTTGTTTTCCCTTTTATTTTTAGAGCTTGGGCTTTGAAGTAGGGAAAATCCTGGCTTTATGATGTACAAGCTGGGCAAGTTTCTTAACATCCGTGAGCCTCATTTTCCCTGTTTGTAAAATGGGAATATTAACACATATGTCCATAGCAATGTTGTGGTGATTAAATGAGCTCATATGTAGCACAGAGCCCTGGTGGCACAGCAATTAAGAGCTATGGTGAGCTATAACCGCTAACAGAAAGGTCAGCAGTTCAAATCCACGAGCCGATTCTTGGAAACCCTATGGGGCAGTTCTACTCTGTCTTATAGGGTCGCTATGAGTCGGAATTGACTCGACAGCAACAGGTTTGGTTTTGGGATTTATATGTCACACAGCTAGCACAGGATGGCACATTGTAGGTGTGCAGCTGATGTTCTTTTCCTTTACTAGTAGAGGTATGTCCAGTTGAAACCACCCACTCTCCTTAGCATACCTGCAGTTCACGTCAGTGATTTTCCATGACGCCTACCCCTCTTCTGCCTCGATCTCTAGGGGGCTCTTGCCAGTGGTTCCACCTTCCTGTCTCTTTCCTTTTCCATTATTAGCTTCAGATGACTCCCTTCTGGGGCAGCATGATTCTTGGAACTGCTAAGGAAACATGTACTTCCCAGAGTCTGGGAGGAGAGTTTTAATAAGTTCTTTTATTAGGAAAAGAGGGAGGAGCTGAGCCCTCCTGTGGCTCTTACCCTGCAGTATGGCATTGTTAGTACCAGGATCTTAGGGGCTGGATAAGTGTGGATTGCTGTGTGTAGATTAAAAAAAAAAAAAAAAAACAAGAAAAAAACAGAATGTTCTATTCAAGTTGCTTGAGTGAGAAGTATAGATTAGATTATTAATGATCATATAGAGGTCTGAGCTGATGTTCTATTTGATTTCATTATTAAAACAAGTGTGATTTGGGACGACGTGGATTTTTTTCTCCCTTTTTACGTAGATGGCAAAGAATATTTAAGAATGTCAATACAGACCATGCCAGTGATTCAGCCTCCAAAGCCACCCCCTGCATGCTAAAAGACAGAAAAGAAAAATTAAGCAGTTGAGAATGTGAGCGTGGAAGCCAAATTATAAACTCATTTCTGCTCTTGGCCTGCCATAGGCTCTGAAGTAACATTATTTGTTGTCAAGGACGGAAAACAACTCAGATTTGAGTCCAAGTGATTATTCCACTTTGGCACTGCTGCCTTTCTGCCATCTGCAATTCCATTTAGACATAGATTAATTAGCCAGTCCGAGATGGAAGTCGATTGTGAGAGCAAAGCCAGAGGATGTAGCATCACGGACCCTGCTCTCAGTAGAGGGTACCACCTTGGGGTGTTGTTGTTGTTAGGTATGGTTGAGTAGATTCCAACTCATAGGGACCCTGTGTGAAAGAGTAGAACTACCCCAGAGGGTTTCCTAGGCTGTACTCTTTACTGGAGGAGATTGCCAGATCTTTCTCTTGCAGAGCTGCTGGGTGGGTTTGAACCACCAACCTTTTGGTTAGCAGCCAAATGCTTAACCGTTGTGCCTCCAGGGCTCCTTATACTTGAACAATAAAACCACATTAAACTGGGGTTAAGAGTGTGAATAGATTCTGAAGTTTTATAGTATTATATCTTATAATTCTACTGGCTTTGTTAATGTCAATGCATCAGAGAAAACCTTCAAACTTAGGTGAACCAATGAATGAAAATGTGACAGGTAGACTTTCCTTACCAGAGGGCAGTCCCTGTGGAGAGAGTTGGGCCGCGGGGGGCAGTAGTCTGCAGACCTGAGCAGCTTGTTCATTAGTCTTGACTTGGCTTTGTATAACCATTCTGGGTCTTTTTCATTCAGGCACATGGAATGGGAACAGCAGTATTATTTATTTGCCATTACTTGAATTATAAAGATAGAGTAAAAATCATACATGCTTGAGAAAGAGGACTCTGCATTAATAAATTCAAGTTAGGATTAACACTTCTTTAACAGGAAGGGGTTAGCCTCTTTCCGGAATGTTTCCCACTCACTTTTGATTCCAAAGCATTGTGCTTGTACCTCTTTTCCTTTCTTCTTTTATCTTACTTGAAGCATCTATTTCCTCCCATTAAATTTCTCAAAGGCAGGGATGGTGTGGGGCCCATTGTTATATCTCCCCGCCATGCCTAGCTGGAAACCTCACTCTGAATAACATGAGAGCAAGTGGCCAGCTGGGAAAGGGGCAGAGGCTGGATGTTTCCTGCCCTATGCGGAACGTGGCAGTGGTACCATCCAGCAGGACGTCCCCTCCCCCACAATTGCCCCGTCTGTATTCCTTGAGAAGTATCCCTGCTTGGGCAGCACGTGGCACACAGCGCCAGGAGCACCCCCCGCGCTGTCCCTGGGGCCCCCGAAGCTGCCCAGCTGCTGTCCAAGAGCAGCGGGCCAGGCTCCAGCCGTCCGGGGCGACGATGCAGCGAGCAGATTGAAACGCTGTCCTCAGCCGCGCCTGCCCGTTTCCACAACTCTGCGCACTGTTCTGGCTGCACACTGGGGTCTTTGATGATGCATCAGAGAGAGCTGGATTTTCTTGGCTGCCTCAAACCATTTCGAAGCTTGTGGATTCTTCCTTTCCCTCGGGGAAAACTTTTATGAGGATTTTCTATTTTTTAACATGTTATTCCATGGAATCATTTTTTTATTATTAAAGTGGTGGTGCTGAATGCGGTCCTTTCAGAGGCGGGCAGCACTTTAACTCCTGACCCTAACCTGGAAGCCCACGTGTGACTTGAGTGGCTGTGAAGCCCTGGAAGCAAATGCGCAAGTTAGGAAGGCAGGACCTTGGCTGCAGCGCACTTTTCTTCTTTGCTAAGTTGCCTTTTTGTTTGTGTGGAAGTTACTTACTTGGCTTTGCTTTTACAGACACTTCAACATGGCTGTCTCTATTTTAAACCTTGGTTATGTTTTTACAAACATTTTGCGTTTTATTTATTAAAATAGGGAGGGGAAAATACCATCCTGCTTTTTGGGGTAATACTTCAGGGAATTGTATTTTGTATCCTAAGTAATTTATACTTTTACCATTTTGTAATAACACCTAAGTTTAAGATGTGGAAATTTACGGGGATTACCTCCTTATTTTTATTTTGTATTTTAGATTCCTTTCAAGTTCAAGGAGAGAAGCCAAGGTAATTTTTTACCCATCGGAGGAATGATATAGCTCCATCCTGACCATCTTTTCTTACATTTCCGGGTAAGTGAGTCTGTTAATCATAAATTGTATAAGAATGGACCTTTGCATGATCTGACTTGTGTTCAACATTCTGGGTGTGTTTTAAATACGTTGAATTTCATTTTACTTTCAGTAGTTTGATTAGTAGCAAATTATTATTTCAAGATGTAAATACCTTTTTAAAGTAATACAGTTACTTGGCTGCTTTGAAACTTTCTGTTCACTTTTTAAAGCCTGATATCTATATTAAACTTGACCAACTTTTTCAGAATTTATCTCTTCTCGAAGTGGCAAGTGACTTTAATAGAGTACCTGGAAGAACTTCATACTTCTTTTCAAAATATGTGCAGTAAAATAGGAACATTTGTTCTCCTGCTGGAAATTGTGACAGAATATTAAGCTTCTAAGATATTCAGCTAGGAATGAAATGGGTGCTACAAAGTAATTATTTGAATAACATGATTTCAAAAATTGTAGAATGATTTTCCTGTCTTTCTTTCTTTGTTGAAACTGATAACATTTTAAGGTTGTACTTGCTAGAACTCTTCGAGAGTAGTACCCTAATGGATTATATGGTTCATTGCAGTCTGAGGACAAATGCAGATCTCTGGAACGTTGTTTTATTCTTGCTCTTGTAACCAGTAATTTTGAGTTTCTCTGCAAGAAGATATTTTATTACATCTGACAAGATTAAACATAAAAAACAGCAACAAAAACCTGCAAACCAGGAATCTTAGGGACATTATTAATGTTGAAATGCAGAAGTATGAAATGGGAAGTTGTATATATGATTCCTGTCTTTCACAGAAGGAACTCTGGTGGCGCAGTGGTTAAAACACTCAGCTGCTAACCAAAAGGTCGGCAGTTCGAACCCACAAGCCACTCCACGGGAGAAAGACATGGAAATCTGCTTCCGTAAAGATTTACAGCCTTGGAAACCCTGTGGGGGCAGTTGTACTGTCAGAGTGTCTCTGTGAGTTGGAATTCGACTCGATGGCAGTGGCTTGGTTTTGTTTATCTTTAGCAGAGCAAACTGTTTTTAGTTTTTCTAGAAATGATTCAACAGACATGAAAATGAATGTAAGTAAGCTGCCCTCAGCATGTACATATCTTCAAGGAGCTTCCTCTACCCTCACTCTCCATGTAACAAATTTCTATAGAGGTTTTGTTCATGATTTCTCATGTTTTTGTCTTTACCTTTGTTATGCTGATTAAGATAAAAGAGTGTACTCAGAGGAGTCGATTTGATTTTGAACTACCTTGGACTAAAACAATAGGGTGTGTGGAGTTTAAAAGGGATTGCATTTGAGTTACTAATAATAGAAAAATGAAAACAATCATGGTCAAAAGTTAATAACACAAACAAAAAAATAACTGAAGAATAATTCCTCACAGATCCTTTTCTGAGTAGAGGTAAAGTGACTAAGAGGCCTAAGTGATTCAGGGCCAACTTGAGGGGCATGTGGAGTTATTCTCATCTTGCTTCTTGTGATGTTTAATGTTTTTGAGATTCCCCGGATGATGCAAAAGAGAACAACGTCATTAGAACACCATGTAGACCGTAATTATTAAACCTTGAGATAATATTTGAAAAGAGTCAAAGTAAACTTCACGAAATAGAGAAGCAATCTAAAGGTGATTAAGTGGGCAAATGCAAAATTAGAGGAAATTTATGCTCTAAAATTCAGCCATTGGAGTACGAGATGGGGGATGCTTGGGTGGCAGTAGAGCGGAGCTGTACAGCATGAGCTAGATTTTAGTGACAGTCAGAGTGCTGTTTGTTGAATCCCTGTGCAGAGATGGGGTTTGCCAGCGGAGCCCAGAGACCTCCCAGGGGAGCATTAGCTTAGAAAAGTTTCCCAGAGCCTACTCCTTGCCTTTATAGGCTCAGAGGCTTGAAAATCCTTTGACAGTGGACCTTTACTGACCCCTAAGAAACGAAAGTGTATATTGGGAAGAGAAGTAATGGTTTTTATTCTCACTCCGGTAGCCAAATACACTATACCAGTGCATGCGTGGTGATTATGGAATCCATGCAAGGAGAGTTACTTGTTTGATTCAAATATTGAATAGCATTAGGCTATCAAAGTTTTGCAGTAGGGATATACTGTGTATTAAACATCTCCTTCATAGAACATGTTCCACCCACTATTTCCTTCTCAGGGAAGTTACTGCCAACCCTATTTTCACCCCCATTCATAGCCTGTCACAGCTCATGGATGTATATTTCCTGCCTCGTCCTATCTTGAAATATATCCACATTTCTACACATCCTTCCCTCTTGTCAAGGAAAAAGGCATGCTACTGTCTTGTGGTGCCCCCTGCCCTTTCCTCTGACCTATACTCTTGGATCTAGCCTCTCCCATGTCCTGGTCTTCTGGTAGCTGTCCTGCCCACTCCCTCCTCAAATCTCTGTGAGGTCTTGAAGCTTCCAGATCTCTTGCCTGTGTTCGTCTTCACACTCTTCTTCTGCCTGGAATATTTTCCTCCTCACTACTCCCTAGGGAATGTCCACTCATCCTTCAAAACTCATCTCAAAAACAGTCCCTACTGTGAAGTATTCCTGTAGAGGTATCTCCAGAATTTAGGACAACACTTGGCTCTTACGAGGCATTGAATACAAGTTTGTTGAATGGAATGAGTGAGTGATTGAGTAAGTAAATGAAAGAATGAATAGGGATGTGTGGTACCTGGAACCTGCCTCCTCTTATTGCCGTAGCATCTTCCAGATACTTCTGTTTTGGCACTTTTCATTGCATTGCAATTATTGTTTACATGATGGTCTCCTGCACTCATTCCTGAGCAGGGCACAGACCTTTCCTCTCTCATTTTAGTGGTCTGGCTCCTACTGTAGTGTGTGTTGCTGTTGTTGTTGTGTGCTGTCAAGTCCATTTAGACTCAGCAACCCTATATGACAGAGTAGAACTGCTCCATAGGGTTTCCTAGGCTGTAACCATCTTTACAGGAGCAGATCGCCAGGTCTTCTCTCCCATAGAGCGGTAGGCTCGAACTGCTGACCTTTCGGTTAGCAGCCAAGCGCTTAACCCTTGCGCCACCAGGGCTCCTAATGTAGTGTGCAGGGGATATCAATTCTAGTTGTAGACACCTAGCATTATTCCTAGGTGTCCTTGTTCTTTGCAGTTTGACAAGGCCATGAAACATGACGACTAAATAGCATATAATGGAAACTGATTCAATGTTTTTTTGGAATGAACCAGGTGTTATAAATAAATATTGTTGTTGTTAGGTGCTGTCCTGTCTGTTCCGACTTATAGCGACCCTGTGTACAATGGAACAAAACACTGCCTGGTCCTGCGCCATCCTCACAATTGTTGCTGTGGTTCAGCCCATCATTGCAGCAACTGTGTCAGTCCATCTTGTTGAGGGTCTTCCTCTCTTTTGCTGACCCTCTACTTTACCAATCACTATCTCCTTCTCCAGGGACTTGGACTTGTCCCTCCTAATAACATGTCCAAAGTACATGAGACAAAGTCTTGTCATCCTTGCTTCCAAGGAGCATTCTGGCTATACTTCTTCCAAGACAGATTTGTTCATTCTTCTGGCAGTCCACAGTATATTCAATATTATTCGCCAACACCGTAATTCAAAGGCATCAATTCTTCTTCACTCTTCCCTATTCATTGTCCAGCTTTCACATGCATATGAGGCGATTGAAAATACCATGGCTTGGGTCACACTTAAAAGAGGTCTTTTGCAGCAGATTTGCCCAATGTAGTATGTCGTTTGATTTCTTGTCTGCTACTTCCATGGGCATTGATTGTGGACCCAAGTAAAATGAAATCCTTGACAACTTCAATATTTTCTCTGTTTGTCATGATATTGCTTATTGGTTCAGTCGTAAAATTGTATATATGTGTATATACATTATATAATGTAACTTGACAAGTTACTCATATTTGAAAAACCAGAGAATTAAGTAGAGCAGTTTTTACTTCATAAAGTGGACTTCTTTTGGACATGTTTTAGACTTTTAAATATTTTCATTCGATGGAGTGAGGTGTGACACAAAGTCTGTAAGCGTTTAATGAGTGTCAGCTTTTATCTACTTCTACGTTTTAATTTATACTCCAGAGCCACAGTTTCATTTCAGCAGACTAAGGCAGCTCCAGGCAGGACCGGGAGATGCACACTGGCACGAGAATGGGTATCCATTGACGGTTGCCTTCTAGGGGACTTTCATTTCTTCCTATTGATTGACACTTAATTAGACCTTATTTCTTGTTGTTCCTATTATGTTTTGGGGCTCTGCTTGTTTGGTTCCCTTTTCATTGAGTTGGTGTCTTGTCTCCAAGCTTCAACTACAGCTTCTTACCTCCGCATCTCATGCCTTGTCTGCAGAGCCTTCTCCTTCCTATTTCTCCTCCTTACTCTTGTTCCTTCTCTGAGGCTCAGCTCAGGGAAGCCTTTCCTGACCCCCAGCCTAGGGGGTGCATCTCTCTCTCACCTCATTCCCCCATTGTTTAGAATTATTTATCTAATATATGTTTGTCCTTAGACCCTCATTGCCCTCAAAGGAGGCACTGTCTGCATTTTCAGCATCAAGCATATGTTTGTTCACATTCGTATTCCTAAGCAATGTTGGAATGAACTTCTGCTATATGAAAACCCTCATTAGATCCAGACATTGTCAGCATTTTTATTCCTTCAACACTTGATGTTGTACCTGCCTTTCCCTGGCCTCCTTCTTTCTTTTTAACTATTGTATTTTCTGGACGTGAGGGATTTGAACCCAGGCACTCTGACTCCAGCAGCCTTATCTGCTTAGTTAAATTAATTTTTAAAAAAGTAAGTCAAAGTCCTTGCTATAAAAGGGATAATTACCTTTTTTCATTGTGGTAAATATGTATATGTAACAAAGCATTTGCTATTTTAAAATTCTTCACATATACAATTGGGTGACGTTGGTTATGATTATCATGTTGTGCAAGCATCACAGGATAATTACCTTTTTTTACTGTTGTAAAAATATATGCAAAATGACAATTGCCAATTTAACATTT